GTAAGACGTTCTATATTGCCATAGCAGTGTGACGTTATAATGTGTGTCGTTAAACATTTTAAATATGTGGCGCTATGTTTTGCAGGCGTACATGTTGTTCTATGTTTTCCAGGCGTACATGTGACCCTATGTTTTGCATGCGTGCATGTAACTTACATGGTCCTATTTGCACAAATCTTCAGTGTTGATTTCTCATAAACACCTTACTTAATGCCTTTAGTATTCGTTTAAATGTTCCTTTACTCACTTCTCCACTGTTCTTTCTTTTCCTGGTTTTAATTGAAGTTTCCACCTACTTCTGATACCATGTAATTTATTGTGTAAGACAAGTGTGTGGTCGTAAGGCGTTCTATAATATTGTTGTAGCAGTGTGACGTTATAATGTGTGTCGTTAAACATTTTAAATGTGTGACGCTATGTTTTTGCAGGCGTACGTACAGAAGGTGAACAAGTACAGAGAGGAGCACGATCGGGAGACGCTCGGCCGCCAGGAGGAGTTCGTTCAGGTCGAGATCGATGACGCCGCCGACAAATACAAGGCCCTTCTGAGTGCCTGCAGCGCCCACTCTGACAAGCTGACCAGCGTCCACGACAAACACAAGGCATACACGGAGGCCATCGCCAAGGCAACCGAGTGGCTGCTGAGGGTGAGTGAATCTCTGCCTGCATGTGCATTATGAATGTGTATATATATTCGGCGTGCGCGACCCAGCGACGGGCGAGATGCGATCCCTCGCCGAGGCGATCGTCTCGGGTCTCCTCGACCCGCGCGCGGGCTGCCTCGTCGTCGCCGGCCGCCAGATGGCGCTCGAGGAGGCGGTCGCTCGCGGACTCATCGATGCGTCGCTGTACGAGCGAGTCGTGGGTCGGTACGGGATCCGCGACCCCGTGACCCGAGAGGACTTGTCGCTGCTGGAGGCGATCGCGCGCGGTCTCTACGATCCCGCCGCTGGCATGTTCCGCGACCCGGCGACCCGGCGTTTGATCACCGTCGACGAGGCCGTCGCCGCGGGGATCGTCGCCGTGGAAACGGTCGAGTACCTGTACGAGATCGGCGTGGCGCAGCGCGGCGGGATTCCGCTGGCGCGCGCGATCGCAAGTGGCGCCCTCGACGTGCACACGGGCGACCTGACACTAGGGGGCGACGTCGTGCCACTGACGGACGCGCTGCGGCGCCACCTGGTGACGCTCGACGATCGTCCGTTCTCGACGGGCGAGAGCGTGTGCGAGGCGCTCGCCGCGGGCCGTGTCGACGACAGAGGGCGCTACGTGCCGGCGGACGGTGGCGCCCCCGTGACGCTGCGCGCGGCGATTGCCCGCGGGCTCGTGACCCCGCACGCGCGCGAGGTCGTCGTCGCGGCGACCGGGGAGCGCGTGACGCTGCTGACGGCGGTGTCGCGCGGCATCGTTGACACGCGCGTGGGCGAGTACGTCTGCGAGGACGGCGAACGCATCTCGCTCGCGTCGGCGCGCGAACGCTCGCTCCTCGCTCCCTCGTACACGCTCCTCCAGGGCCTCACCGACGGCCACATCGACGACGCGCGCGGCACGTGCCTCGACCCCGCGGGTAGCCGCCGCTGCCTAACGCTGCTGGAGGCCGTTGCCGCAGGCGTCGTGGACGCGCACGCTCCCTGCATCGTGGACACGGTCACGCGGGAGGTGCTGGGCGTGAACGACGCGCTGAGGCGCGGACTCGCGAACGCGTTCTGCCGCGTCACGGACGCGCGCGCCGCCGAGACGCTACGCCTCGGCGAGGCCGCCGCGAGGCGAGTCCTCGTCGCCACGGAGACGCGACTCGTGTTCGACGTCGCCGCGGTGCGAGACGTAGGTGGCGCCGCCGTCAGCTACAACGAGGCGGCGACGCAGGGGTGGGTCAACGCCGCCGTCGGCGCGCGATTCGTCGACGCCTCGGGCAAGGCGTGGTCGCTCGCCGAGGCCGCCTCGCGAGACCTCGTCTCGTCTCAGCTCGCCGCCGCGCTCGCGTCTCAGTCTGGGCTCGGCGAGCGTCTCAGCGTGTTCGAGGCGATCGCTGCCGGCCTCCTCGACCCGGGGACGGGCCGCGTGCGAGATTCGCCCGCCGGCGAATGGATGCTGCCGACGGAAGCCGCCGCCAGGGGGCGCCTCACCGCCGCCGACGCCGTCGCGCTCGTCGAGAAGATTTACGTCGTCGTGCCGACGCCGCCCCTCGACGACGACGACGACCAGCAGGTGGCGCCGGCGCGGCGGCCGCTGGACCGGGCCGACCTGATGGCGTACGCGACCCGTCTTGAGGTGCCTCGGGAAGGCCTCACGCTGCGCGAGGCGGTCGAGCGAGGCCTCCTCGACCCCGACTCGGGACTGCTCTCGATCCCGGACTCGGACGGGCAGATGACGCTGGAGGAGGCCGTGCGACACGCGTTCATCGACGCGAAGTCTGCGCACGTGGCGACACCTGCCGGCAAGCACGTGAAGCTCGGCAAGGCGCTGAAGAGGAAGCTGCTGGATGTGCGGGGGAGGTACCAGGAGGAGGAGGAGGAGGGAGGAGCGATCACGCTGCGCGAGGCCATCGCCCGCTCCCGCGTCGTCTACGACCCGCGCCTGCAGATCGGCGAGGTCGCGGCCGAGGTCGCCGCGGCGGCGACCCCAGAGGTCACGACCCCGGTCACGACCTCCAAGCTCGTCATCGGAACCATGAGCGCGACCGAGGTCAACGCGGGGTCGCCGCCGCAGGAGCAGCGCCACCACGCCACTGCCGCCGCGCGCGAGCACGTAGACGGCGCCACTGAGGAGGACGTCGCAGATGGCGCCGGCGGTCAGCTGCGGCTGGACGTGGCGACGGGGGAGGTGGTGGACGCGCGCACGGGCGAGCGGATGTCGCTGCAGGAGGCGATACGTCGCGGGCTGGTGAGCCGCGAGGGCACCACCGTCCGCAACCCCGCCACGGGCGACCTCCTCACCCTCGCCGCCGCCGTCGACGCCCGCATCGTCGACAGCGCCACCTGGGAGGTAATCGACAGCGCGACGGGAGAGCGGACGCCGATGTCGGCCGCTGTCGCCCGCGGACTCGTACACAAGGTCACCTTCGTAGTGAGGTCGGCCGTGGCGGTCACGGGCGGGGCGCGACCGCTGCGCGAGGTCAAGGTCGACTTGACTGTCGGTACAATGACGGACCCGCGTACGGGCCGACGAATCACGATCGAGCAAGGGTTGAGCAAGGGCTACTTCGACGCCGACGCGACTACGGTGCGCGACGCCGCCACGGGGGCGCCACTGTCTCTGCGCGATGCCATCCGTCTCGGCGTCGTCGCCGCCGACTCGTGGGAGGTCAAGGTCGCGGCGGGCGAGCGCGCGACCTTCTCGCACGCGATCAAGGTCGGCCTCGTTCCGACGCTCGCCGTCGCCGACCTGCTGCCGGGGGGAGCCACCGTGCAGACGATCGAGAACTACCGCGTGGACGCGGCGCGCGGCGCCATCACGGACGTGAACACCGGCGAGACGCTGTCGTTCGCTCGCGCCGTCACGCGGGGACTCCTCAGCACGCACGCGACCTTCGTCCACGACCCGACCTCCGGCGACGAGACGACCTTGAAGCGCGCGATCGACGAGGGGGTTGTCGCCGCCGGCGACGACCTCGACGTGACCTCGCTGCGGCGCATCCTCGCGCGCGCGACGATCGTCGGCCGCCCAGAGGGAGCCACCGCGTACGACGACGTGCGCGGCCTCGACCCGTACGCGGGAACGATCAGCGACCCGGCGACCGGCGCGCGCGTCTCTCTCGAGGAGGCTGCGCGCCGCGGCGTCGTCGGGGGCGACGGGACGCGCGTCGTCGACCCGCTGTCCGGCGTAGCGATGCCGCTGCGCGCCGCCATCGCCGCGGGCGTCGTCGACGCGCACACGTACCAGATCTGTAACCTACAGACGGGCGAGTGCGTGTCTCTCTCCGACTCCATCAAGGCCGGTCTCCTCGCGGCGATCGCCTTCCCCGAGGATGCGGCGAGGAAGCCGGCGAGGCGAGGCGTCGCCACGGCGACCGTCTACACGATGCAGACGACGGCGACGAAGACGCTGTACCTCGACGAAGACACGCCCGTCGAGTTCCGCGTGCGCAAGCTGCGGCCGGCGCCAGAGGGCACCACTGCTGCCGCCGTCGCCGCGGAGACGGGGTACGCCGTCGCGCCCGGGTTCAAGGTCGTCGACGGGGTCAAGGTCGTGAACGAGGTCAGCGGGGAGGAGCTGAGCGTGAGGGAGGCGATGGATCGCGGGTTGTTGAGCGTCCGCACGACGACGACGACGACGACCGAGGTGGCGAGCCCGCGCCGCGACGCCGGCGCCACCTCGTGGGCGGACGACGGAGCGGCGGCGGCGACGACCGTCGTGGAGACCGCACAGAGGAACGGAGACGTGCGATCGGTCACGCGCGAAAGCAGCAGTAGTAGCAGGAGCGTGACGAAGACTGTTCGTTCGTTCTCCTCGGTCGACGAGATAGGAAGCGCGCGCCGAGAGCTGAGCTACGGCGCGCCCGAGCGCTCGTCCATCGTCGTGGCAACCAGCGTCGCGGCCCCGCCCGTCGACGAACGAGACGAGATAGGAAAGCAGCCGGAGGGAACGTTCCGGATCGAGGAACAACCAAAGGTCGGTACAGAGGAACAACGGCACACGTTCCGAACACAGGAACAACGGGGGTTCGCGATGCAGCCAGAGGAAGAAGGGGAGGGAGAGTTCACGACCGAGACGGAACAACGCGTGTTTCAAACGTCGCAGACGTCGCAGCGCCGCGTCGTCACGAGCCAGTCGTCGGAACAACGAGAGTTCATGTACCGACCCGGCGAACCCGCAAGCGAACAACCCACGAAGACGGAACAACGGGAGTTTGTGTACCGATCCGGCGAACCCGCAAGCGAACAACGCACGAAGACGGAACAACGGGAGTTCGTGTACCGATCCGGCGAACCCGCAAGCGAACAACGCACACAGACGGAACGACGAGAGTTCGTGTACCGATCCGGCGAACGAGATTCACTCACGTTGCCTCAGCAAGGGCCGACTCTTCAGCAGCCACTCGTTGCCTTGGCGATGGCTCCGCGTGTATGCCTTGTGTTTGTCGGTGGACGGCCTGGTCAGCTTGTCAGAGTGGCGCGCTGGCAGGCACTCAGAAGGCGCCTTGTATTTGTCGGCGGCGTCATCGATCTCGACCTGAACGAACTCCTCCTGGCGGCCGAGCGTCTCCCGATCGTGCTCCTCTCTGTACTTGTTCACCTTCTGTACGTACGCCTGCCAAAACATAGCGTCACATATTTTAAAATGTTTAACGACACACATTATATCGTCACCTGCTACGACAATTATAGAAGCGTCTTACGACAACACGCTTGTCTTAGCACAATAAATTACATGGTATTAGAAGTAGGTGAAACTTCAATTAAAACCAGGAAAAGAAAAGAAGCAAGTGGGAGAAGTGAGTAAAGGACATTTAAACGAATACTAAAGGCATTAAATGAGGTGTTTATATGAGAAATCAACACTGAAGATTTTGTGGCAAATAGGACCATGTAAGTTACATGCACGCATGCAAAACATAGGTCACATGTACGCGTGGAAATCATAGAACAACATGTACGCCTGCAAAACATAGGGTCCACATGTACGTCAGGAAAAACATAGGGATGTA